CGGAAAAAAACGAAAAAAGAAAAAGGAGCCGTTTTCTCATTTTTCTACTTCCAATATTAAATCAAAAAACGAATGATCGAATGATACACGGATAATTAGCCCTCCCTCCAGCAGATCATTTGCATTTGTGGTTGACCACACGTGTAAAAGCATTCTAATCACCCGCTGAACAACTGTAACAATGTCAACAGAGCATACTGACCATCAATCTTTTTAAACAGCCTTGGATCCATTCTTTTCTCCAAAGACTAAGTCTTGTCAAGCCTGCCAACAGGATGATTTAATATTTGATCTAAAGCTAAAAGGTATTTAAAAATCAGGACTGATATATGACTAGAAATGTCTTCAGTAAGAGAAAGAACTACTAATCCCAGGAACCACTGGGGATAATGTAATAGAATCAGCAATGATGGTACAATACAAAACTTCATAAATTAATTTTTTATCAACTACACTGCAAAATATTTAAATACAAACAAATATTGAAATATATAATACTACCAAATTTGTTTGAAAGTCTAGCAAGTCTCTATTTACATAATTCACAATGCTTTATAAGTGTGGATATTTCCATTTTAACAGTCACTTCTCTGATTGGTTGATCTAATTTAAAGGAATAGTTACCCGAAAATGCAAATTTGCTTAAAAGTTACTCTCAGGCCATCCAAGATATAGATGAGTTTGTTTTTTCATCGGAACAGATTTGGAAAAATTTAGCATTGGCTCACAAGCCCACATTAATTGATCCTGTGCAGTGAATGGGTGCCGTCAAAGTGCAAGTCCAAACAGCTGATAAAAACATCACAATAATCGACAAGTAATCCATGTGACTTCAGTCCATCAGTTAAAGTCTTGTGAAGTTAAAATCTGTGTGTTTGTATGAAACAAATCCATTATTAATACGTTTTTAACTTCAAACCGTTGCTTCCAGGTTCCAGCTAAAATACGAGTCCATAATCCATAATATTACTTTCTTCAGTTCTCTAAATCTGTTCCAATGAAGAGACAAACTCACCTACATCTTGGATGGCCTGATGGTAATTACATTTTTCATCAAATCTTCATTATTTTTCAAAGATTGTGGATTGTGTAATACTTCAATAATTAAATACTTCACACACTAAACACATTGTTCTGGTGAAAATAATATTAAATGGACTTCTCAGCTAATGGTAGATCAGACATGAATAAGGAAATTGCTCAAAATAATTTTCTCTTTAGAGAAAGAATGAATGTGATTTTTATTCCCAGAACCCTCTAAAAAGGTTTTATTAGATCATACATTAATTAATCAATATGAAAAGCTTTTTAGTGTAAAAAATAAATAAATAAACACTTTAACAGTTTCTTCCTTCCTAACAGATTAGAGAGAGAAAGAATAAACTGTGGTTCTTTAAACAGGCCATGACCAGTCCTTTACAAACCCACAACACAATATAACCACACTAAATAATGGGCCAGTAGTTCCTGCCAAGCAGAACAGTTGGAGGACTCGTGAGTGTTGGTTCCCAGATCTCAAGAGACGTGTGCTTTTCTTCTGCTTGGGTTGGTAACTGATTTTGGACACAATCCTCATATGAAAAGTCTAACATATGTGCCACCATCCTACCATTATGCAAAGGAATATTAGACCTGCAAATTCAAGTCTGTGCTATACTGGTACTGGTAGTGATAAAATTATTATAAACAAGGCAGTAGTGCATTTACTCACATAAACACTTAAAGAGTGATGTTTATGTAGGCCACATAAACATCTGTGAGTGGTTTCCACTTGATGAAGTCGTTGAGGACACTAAAGTCTGACAACTACATAAACACCCTCATTCCTACTTTGTACAAACCTACCATAGTTTATTATTGCACACATAGTGAGAAGTTTTGTCTATAATATGGCTGAAAAAATAAACCAGACAGCTGATGTCTGAGCCCCCAGCCAGCGATAAGTCAGTGGAGGTTTAGATCAGTGAAAAGGTGCTTATGAGTTAGTTTAGGAGGGCGGGACAAGACGGTGTGTAAGAGAGAGAATGGGGTGTCTGGATTAGCCCTAAAACAGCTGCAGGATTTCAACAGAAAACTGAGTTTCAGTACAAACCAGCCAGTGGACAACCGCTCGGATTACTGTGTAACTATTAAGATACACTGATGAACTCATCTGTTGCATGCAATACTCATCTCACAATTGCATGACCAGAAATT